TAATGGCGCAGTAAACCTTGGAAACGCATATACGCAGACTTCTTTGGCCCATTGGATGGGAAAATGTTTCTTCTCTTGGTTGCTGCTTATTCGAAATAACGTCGCGACGACGTCTCATTCTCGCTAAAGGGCCGCTTTTACAACGCATCAGTTCGCTCAGTATTGTTGTATGGGAGCGAGTACTGGTCGATTCGCGTAGAAGACATGCGTCAGCCTTCTGCCTTCGATAATGGTTGCTTAAGGAGGATTGCTCGTATTTGGTGGCAACATCGAGTTACCAGTAATGACGTTCGACGTCGCATCATGGGGAGTATTCCCTATAACAAAGTGGTTTCGTTGCGCCAGTTCAGATGGCTCGATCAAGTGCTACGCATGGCACCTGAGCATCTACCACATTGCGCTCTATTCGCTCGTCAAGGACCTGGCTGGAGGCGACCGCGTGGTCAGCCTTCTACATGGCGGCAGCACATGAAATCGCTGATGTCGTGTCTGGCCGCTGTTGGATCCGTACGTCTCCCAGGATGGGGACCCAAAGATAAGGAGTGCCAATGACTTAACACTCTTGAAGACATGGACCGCAACCGGAATCAGTGGAAGAATTGTGTACAGTATTGTAGTGATTAACATATATAATACTTCAAACATTGAAAATGACAAAAAAGAAAAAAATCGGCGTGTGAAAAACAAACTAAAATTGTTTTGTTCTACTTTTCGTTAAAATGTTCTTTTCTTCCTGCGGCATATTAGCTGAAGGGTGTTGCTCACCTTCAACTACTATGACACGATCATTATGACGCGAGGACTGTACCTTATCCGCTGATCTCCATAGTTTGCTGCTGGCTCTGTCTAGTTGCTAGACGGCTGCGATTACTTACTTACTACTTATGGCACTAACGTGTCCTCAACGATGAAGTGCGTAGGAGAGTACTCGGTAATGATAATCATGCTAGCTCCTCAGAACAACAGATAGCACTGAATAAGTTGCGTTGGCTTTGACACGTGTTACGTATGCCTGCTCACCGATTACCTAGGAGGGCCTTGTTAGGTCTGCCAAGTGTAGGGTGGCGCAGAAATTGGCTTAGCAGCGGGAAATGAAGTCACTGACGAACAAACTGGGTGCCGTTGGTCCGTCTCGCCTTCCGGGCTGGAGTCCAGGTGACTCGCCTTGTGCTTGACTTGAGACCTTACAGGACATGGCTCTCAGTAGACACCAGTGGCGCGTCTGCTGCTGTCTCGTAGTCGGAGTGCCTGTTTAAAGTTTGTCTGGTGCTGAGTTACTTGCGGGGTAACGGCCGATTAGGACTCGGAGCAGTGAAATCCGCAAGGAAGCTGCCTCACCGATGCCGCCTTATTTTTGCACGATAGACAGTTGTTTGTGACGGTATGTTGTCTACACAGGTGTAGACGCCTCGACCTTGAATGTTTGCTAAGGGCATTAAGGTTTTCAGGTAAGTCCCCATTTTCTCCCTCTTAGTATTCTTTATTCCATGGTTGTATGGCAGCAAAGCATCAGTTCAAATGGCTGATGTACTGCTGTTGTTATTTTGCTCACCCACTTATCGATTGGCCTATTTTAGATTAGTGGATCAATGCATTGTACAATATACCGTTTAGAATACAGTTTTACCTTCCGAGTGCCTGACATGTTTTGATTTGTGCTACTTCGGCTAAGAGCCAGTCACTGAGCGTTAGTCCTGCAATTGCTAAACTGTGACGGCAAGGCTGAGAGTTATTCATTCATCATCATTATACACGTTAGCTAGAGGTGGGGACACCTCCGCATTGCGCTGCAATACACACGAAGAAAATATAACAAAGCGTCGCAACAGAAGCGCGCCAGCTTAGCCACCAGTAAGGAGTGGACACTGTTCCGGAGAGCTAGCAGCCGGCTGTTGTACCCCAAAAAAGTTACAGTTTATCTCAGGAAGGAGATCGCGGTTGGAGGGGAGGCTTAACAAAAAAAAACGAAGAAGCACACAACATGTTCATCTTCTTTTGGGCCACAACCAGGGAGCTGAGAGACTGTAGCCGAGGCTAACTTCGAAGTGAGGTTGATTACTGTTTACTGGTTGGAAGCAGCAAGTAGAGTTTGCTCTGCGTAGCTACATCTAATGTCACTCAGGGACAAAGACCCGTTAGGTTTTGTTGCGTTCAATATATTTTGCGTCGGCAAAGTGTTTGTTCAGGAACTTCTTAAATTCCGACACCGGCTTTGCCTCAACTACGTGCTGCAGCAGGCCGTTCCATACATACACCACTCTGCGTTCGACCCGCTTCAAATCCGGTACGACAAGCTTATACCGATGTCCTCGTGTGCTGCTTGGTGTGTGCAGATGAAGCAGCGGTCTCAACATCGGGTAATCTCCCAGATGTAATATCCGGTGCGTCATGATGAGGTCTACTCGCATTTGACGATAAGCTAGGGTGTACATCCCTAGCTTATTACACCGGTCTTTGTACGGCACACCTCGTAAGTTGGGAATCAGCCTGGTGGCTACATGCTGCACTCGCTCAATCTTTTCTACCTCGCCCCGGGTGATAGGACAATACGCGGAAGAGCCATTCTCTAGCATTGGTCGTATTATGGAGACGAATAGGCGAGTGGCAATCTCTTCGGACAAAGTGCTGATGCTGCGCCTGAGCGCCCAAAGCATACGAAGGCTGTTTTGGTAAATCCTATTCGTGTTGTCCATGGTCGTAGCGTGAGAGTACACCGAGGTCGCGCACGAAAGGCGCGGGATGCAACGGTTGAGCAGCCACCGTGTAGGTTCCACTGGGCTCACACTTATCAAGCCTCAGAAATTGCGAATTGACCTGGTTGATCGGGAGGTTGACCTCTGCAGACCACGTGGAGAGGCGGTCGAGGTCCTGCTGAAGCAGGTCACAATCATTGGGTGTGCGGATTAAGAGGAGAAGCAAACTCCTGGTGAAGAAAAGTGGTTCCGTGGCCTAGTTCGTCGGCGCGACATCACTCTCGCCCTGAAAGGTAGAGTGCATAATGCAGCTGCACGTTCGACCCTATTGTACAATCGTGAAACCTAGCCCCTTAGATCAGCCGACATAAAGAGGCTAGTTACGTTCGAGCACTGCTGCCTTCGCAGTTCGGCTCACATCTAGTGGGAACACTGCGTGAGCAACGAGTGTGTTTGACGCCTTGTTTACGGCACAGGAAAAGGAAATGAACCGTTCAGCATAGTCATTTCACGCACCAGGCTCCGATGGTTCGGCCACGTGTTATGCATGCAAGCACACCGGCTCCCGCGACGTGCGTTGCTTTCGCGCCGTGGGTGTGAATGAAAGAAGAGGAGAGGTGGCCAATCGATGATTTGGTCGAGAGTAACGAAGGCCCTTACTTCGGAGCTGGCCTCGGTTGGAGCTTCACGGCTCCCTGGTTGGGAACCAAAAGACGATGAACACGTTTGGCTGGATACACTTGTTGATATGGCTAGGAGCCGACCTCAGTGGTGTTCGTGTTGTGAGTTTTTCGTCCCTCTTCCCCCCTCATGGCTTCCTCCAAATGCGATCTCATTTTCTAGCATAGTAAAATATTGCATAACAAATTTTTTGCAGGATAGTAGCCGGCTGGTGACTTTCCGAAATGATTCCCATTCGTTACTGGTAGCTTAGCTGACATGCATCTGCTGCATGTTTTTATTTTATGAATTTGTGCACAGTAGCTGAAGTGTTTTCCATCTCTTTGGTGATGATAGCTTAGTTCGACGATGAAATTGTGGTAATCCTTGAGTATATGTCGCTTTAAAAGCGATGGGTGTCCCCTTAGTCGAGAGTGGTTGCCGTGCTGCCAATAGTAAGCAAAGCACAGTATCGTGGAGGCACACAGATCAAACTAAACAGAAACAGCAGTGATAAGAAGAATCAAATAAGTTTACACACCCCAGGAATCTTCACCAGTTATTGCCGGACGAACTAGCATGAGAATTGAAGGTGTTCGTGTCTAGTTGTCCTGTCTATGTGACTGCGGATAGCCGCAGGAAGCTCGGAGCGGGAGCAAAGGTGGTTCTTGGCATGCTCCCACTGATGGCTGTAACTGCCCACACCTGAAAGTGTGAAACCTCATGGGGAATGAGAATGAGGGGTAGGTGAGTAGAAATCATCTTTGCAACATAGCCAGTTATTTCTGGTGGTATGGGTGCTGGCAAAAAAACATGTACCATGGGTTTAAATGTTTGCTCAGTGAACGTGGCGTCATCACCATTCGACAAGTGGGTTAGAGGTGAGAAAGATCACAGCTCTCGCACAGCAATACAAATTAAGTAGATCGTAGTGAAACAGAGGAAAACAATACACAGTATTAGTGTACAGTATTATGCATCAGTAAATAGAGGCTAAACGTGAGCAGAATATAACCAACTTTTGACGCAGATGTTAGCAAGATCGGCTCCTGGGTATATCAACAAGTGACTCTAACCAAACGTATTCACTGTCTTTGGAACCCTAACCTGGGAAAAACTAGCAGAGGTTTTCGGTTGGCCTCCTCTCCCCTTTTCCCGTCCACATCATATTCGGAAAAGCACTAGATGGCCTTTTTATCCTACTGCGACTAGTCCGTGGGACGTAACCCCGGCCTCATCAGGGACTGAACTCATGACATCTCGATGCAATCGTAATGCCACTGACGGTGATGTTTCGATGGCTCAGTCGAGTCTAGCCTAACTAGCACACTTTGTATACAGGAGGCGTCAGCTATCACAGTGATGGGCAAAAGTAGCAACATACATCTACGTGGAAATGCGGCGCGAAATCTTTCATTCCCTACCTCATAGGATGAATAAGCTGAAACTGTTAACTGGCAGTAAAATTACACAGTAAAGCAGATAACACCGGAGATACGACAATCTTTAACCATGGTGAGAATTCATGCTAGCCGTCTGCGGACAATAAACAAAAGTGGATGCCACCAAGCTGGGGAACGTCCGGAGAGAAGCAGAAAAACAAAGGTGCGCACACAATATCTAGCAGTCTAGTGGTAGATGACTCACCGTTAGAGTGAAAAAGTGCCACGTTTTCCCGGTGCCTCTTGCCGTTTAGATGAGCTTGGAGTGTGATATAAGACGTACTCTGTACACTACAAAGCTACAATGTGAGAGACAGAGAGGAGGGTGAACACATTCGGGTGGACAAGTAGCGAATCGAGTATGTGTTCAACCAAGATCACTTTCCATCTGCAACAACACGGTGGGGTAGAGAGAAAAGGACGCTATACACGAATAAATCGAGAGCACTGTTGGCAAAGATTACGAAGCTCAACAGATGCACTGTTGTACATGACAAGTTGAAAATGATTCTGTACATGGTAGAGACAAAACCCAACGAGCAGACAGTATCAGAAGAATTCATCAGTGACGGTGACCAGTACAGCGCATCTCCAGATGTGTGTATGGAAATGAAGTGTCAAAGAAAAGCGCTAGCATGCATGTAAAATTTATTCGTAGGCTCTCAGTGACTCCAGGAAGGTGGATGGCTTTTCGGCCGTATGTGGCCGTACTATTAGGCAACATCATCAACGGTGTCCAGATTGCGCCAGAGAACTTTAGTCAAGGAAGTGTTACTTATTGACAAAATTGGAATATAGAGAGTATGGGATCGACCTGGTACACGAAATCCTACACGCCACCGAAGGTGCAATAAATAAACAAGTGGGCACTTTCTTGGGAGTTAGTATAACCTTCAATCAAAGGTCTTACTGAGGAATTTGCAGGAAGTTTCTTATGGTCCTTTCTCTTGGGAGGTCGGTATCCTGTCTGATACCAAAATAGAATCAATGACTGCCGTTAAGCAGAGGATATGCCCACAAACGCGTTAAAAGAGACAGGTAGCTATGACACATGGCACCGAAAAAGAATCATGATTCGTATAGAGGAATTTGAATCCTGGTTTATTCAAAGGTGACAGTCGGAGGAGAGGATAAATTTAAAGTAGGATCATCTGGAAGTTATACTTATGTGATCTGGTGTGCGTGCAGAACCACGCTAAGCGCAGTGGTGGGAGTCTAAAATGTAGTAAGGAAGTGTGAAAATCCCTAAAGTCTGCAACTGAAGGTTCCGACAGTTATTTTCTTCATTCTAGCATCAGGACACAACAGCCGTTGGCACACAAATATAAATATATATGTGCGCATACCATACCGTCCATCAGAGAGAGTATGTGCTGCCGCAAGTCTAGCTAGGTCTGATGTGGATGTTAACGAAGCGCCCGTTTGTATAATACCACCATCTTGATTACTTGCCGCAAGAGACTACTAATCGTTGCCGATAGTGGTAGGCTCAAATAGTTCCACTTAGAGAGGGAGGAGTCACGGGTCAACTACTGCCGCGTTTGTCAAATATGCATGCTTCTCTTAGTTTCTAAAAATGATGTGCAAGCTGAAGGCGTGTGAGTCGGATCTGAAGCTCCCAGCTTAATGAATCCCAATATTTTCTCTTACGACATCTGCCACCTTTCACCCGAGTCATTTGACACCAGCCTCCTTGAAACTGTCCTCAAAACGAATCTCACCCAGCATATAACATCGCCCACTAGGCTTCTTCCCGGCCAAACTCCGCACACTCTTGATCTTGTGCCCACTCCGTCCCTGGCAGATGTCTCAGAATTGACCCTTCTACCACCCATAGGCAAAAGCGACCATTGTACAATCTCCTTCCTATGGACTAAACATCTAGCTATCCGAACCCGGAGGGCACACCGTCGCAACTTCTGGCGAACCGACGCATTCAAGCTAAGGGTGGCAGCAGGTACATTGGACTGGAATGTTCCACAACACTTAGATCTCGATGCTGCTTGGAACGATTTATTCCGCAAATTGAAGCTCCTCATCGAGGAGGCCGTCCCATTCCACAGTAACAGGCCTCTTTCTAAGGCCCCCCCCTGGATCGACCGAGAACTCAGGGCCAACATGAAACAACGACGAAAACTATGGGACAGATTCAAGCTTTCCCGCTTAGACTCAGACTACTCTAAATACAAAGCCATCAGGAACTTCTGCTCCCTGCAGAAACGTGAAAAGAGACAACGATACGAGCATAGCCTGGCCGAACAATCTCTCTCTAGGCCAAAGACTATTTTCATACCTTAATAGCTCTTCCAAGACGGGCTGTGGAGTTCCTGCATTGTCTACTAATGAGCCAGGTATGATACACTATGATGATGACGCCAAAGCTGACCTATTGGCTCTACAGTTCTCCTCAGTATATACGAAGGGAGACAGACTCGCAAACCCTCATGTAGTTGCACATACAGTACCTCTGGAACATATCGATATCGATGCAGGTGCTACCTTGAAGCTACTACTAGAACTGAACTCCTCTTCCTCACAAGGCCCAGACGGGTTACATCCACATTTTCTCAAGATGGTTGCAGAATTCATTGCCGTCCCACTTTGTCAAATCTTTCAGCTCTCTCTTAAAGCTGGTCGACTACCTGTCGATTGGAAGACGGGTGTAGTTATGCCGAAATATAAAGGTGGAAACCGCCAGGACCCTGCGAACTATCGGCCAATTTGCTTGACGTCGGTCGCCTGCAAGATCATGGAAAAGCTCATTAAATCTGCTCTCCACCGACACTGCGAAGATCTGAACTTCCCTTCAGTCACCCAGCATGGCTTCCGAAAGGGGCACTCCTGCATCACTAACCTGTTGGTCGCTAGAGAGAAGTGGGCTAAATCAGTGGACGCTGGAAAACGTTTAGATGTGGTCTTCATCGACTTCAGCAAAGCTTTTGACAGAGTCCCACATCAGGAACTACTCTCTAAGCTCTGCGGAACTGGCGTGACAGGGAACCTCCTACTATGGATCAGTGACTTCTTGCAAGGCCGGAACATGCAAGTCAAAGTAAACGATACCCTTTCATTCCCCGTGCCTATGTATAGTGGCGTACCACAAGACTCCGTTCTCGGACCGGAATTGTTCAAGATATATATCAATGATCTACCAAGTATGCTACAAACGGACTGTCTGATCTATGCAGACGATCTCAAGCTATGGTCGGAAGTGTCCAGCCTCGAAGACGCCGACCAATTACAGGAAACGCTTGATCTACTACACTCTTGGTCTATCAAGTGGGGTTTGCCGGTCAACAAAGATAAATGCTCAGTCCTTTCTATAGGTGCTGCTGAACCACTGGGCATCTATCACATTGGCGGGCACCTACTCAAGATTGCCACACAGGAAAAGGACCTGGGGACAATAATCTCCTCTGATCTCAAAACGACCCTTGACACGTTAAAGAAAACTGCTGTGGCGAACAGGATGTGGGGCACCATAAGGAGATCATTCTCTAAAATGACGCCGCAGATATTTAGACTTCTCTTCACCTCCCATATCCGTCCCATTCTTGGATTCGGACATCCGGCCATAGCCCCTTTATCTAAACATGAAAGTGACAAGATAGAAAAAATTCAGCGACGAGCCTCGAAATTTGCCCTTGGGCTACGCAACCTCCCGTAACCCCACCCGACTACAGAGGATGAACCTTTTTCCCTTAGACTATCGCCGACGTCGCGGAGACATCTATACCAGGCGCATCCTACGAGGAGAACTGGGAAACGAGCTAAGGCAGTTCTTTCAGCTAAGACTTGGCAGCTCGACTCGAGGTCGCAGCTGGAAGCTTTTTAAACCGAGGAGGCTCAAAGTCCGCTCAGATGTTGCTCTCTCTACTCGAGTAATTAATGATTGGAACCGACTGCCGGACCCGATTGTCAATGCGCAATCAGAAGCGAGTTTCAAACGTTTGCTAGACATCTTCCTACTGAGTACTCCAGGATCCTGCAGGGCTGATATTACCTCCTGAGCCATGACCGCCCACTCGCCTGCAATCCTTGGAAGATCGGGAAGCGAAGGAGCTGACACGGGACCCCCCTTCTGCTCTCTACCACTCAATGAATGGACATGCACAGGATGTACTACGTGTTGGAGCTGTAGCTGGTGTGGCGCGAATCACTCATGGTTCCGCTGTAGATGCAGATGTTTTGTAGCTATTCCTAGGCACAGGAGACAGTTAAATGCGGAAACGATCGTCGCTGACCACGCGATGAGGAGAATCTATTGGAAAGAAAAGTACGGGAAGATGTACACTCTCAAAGCGTGAGTAGCAAAGAGTATAAGCGGTGAGAGCAACAGTGTGCTTAAAAAATAAAATTACTTCGCAATATAGCGATCCTGGACGAATGAACTCGGACTGCGTCTTTTGCATATACTGCCGCTGAAACCACGCGTAGTGCCTCGCAGCCCCATTCTCCTGAAGCAAAAAAGAGAGAGAGAGATGGGAGGGAAATGTGAACAGAGGGTAAACACGCTGGACAGTTAGGTGCACTTTGAACATATAAGGAACTATAGCATTAGACCGCGAAAGATAAGCAGACAGCGCAGAGAGTTAGAAGTGGATGTGTAGGCAATCGAATTTAGACCGCACCGAGCTGGTAAAAGTAAACACACTGTAACTATAGCCTGCAAGAAGCGGAGAGAGGACAGGAAAAACCCGTATCAGCACTAGGATGACTAACCTCTGGCTGCTGTACGATGCCCCTGTCGATATGCTCTGGATTACGTCGCTGCAGACCTTCCAATGCACGCTGGATGTGAGTGACGCCGCGCAAGTGCAAAGTGAAGGCACGGTCTGTGCCGAATCGCATTTGGCACGTGCGGCAAAACAGATCATCCCCATCGTCCTCCTCTGCTTCTTGCTGATGGGAATCGACACCGAACAAGAGACCATGGTAAACGGGCTGATTCAAGTCTGGCGGGCGAATAGCAGCGACATCGACTGCAAGGGACAGGGTGGATTTGATGAGCGTAACGACATGTGGAAGAAGAGGGAAACAAAAGGCAATTTTGTCCACGGAGAGTGCAAAGTACCCGTGAGTTCAAGCGGCCAAACAAATGGAATTAAAGTCAACCGATGTGAGATAAGAGAACAATGGCAGCAAAAAGACACGCGAAAAGAAAATGGTGTAACACGCTCGTGAAAGCTGCTACTACGCGAACGCAGACGAATCCGGTCGAGTAGGCAGTGAGCAAGCAGATGAAGATACATCGGGTTATGGAAGCTAAACGGCTTCGAGTGAGGATAAAGTAGAAGCCCCGATGTAAAAGAAGACGAATAAGATAGAAAATAACCAGAAGGTAAAAAAAACCGAAATTACTTGGCGGTATGTAAAAGTGACGAAAGCAAAGACCGAGAACGATTATCAGTATGCTCGGTATATGAGATGTATCTCAGGAAAGCAGGAGTGAAGCAGGGACGAAGGGTCACAGGTGGAAAGAATCCAGGTGGAAATCAGAAACGCCTAGCACGAACGTCCCCAGTAATCATCACACGTCCGAGCGAAGACGAACAAACTATTGTGTTCACACTGGTGAATCATCTATGAGATAAGATTACAAGTGAAAACAAATCAGTTCAGTTCAAATGACCAACTATGATCCGAGCATCGAAATGCGGTGGATCCAGTTACAACGACTCACATCGCAAAAATAACAATAAGTGGCAAGGGTAAAATAGATCGATTTGATGCAAAGTAAATGTAAAGAAAATGGAAGGAAGAAAGAAGTGTGTTATACAAATAAGAATGAAACGAAAGGCAATAACTAGATGCAAAAGACCGAATGCAGGAATGCCGATGACTGCGCCATGTCTGATACGGTCTCCAACCATTGGCGTGGAGCATCCCAAGGCCCCTGCTCGAAGACAGTAAGCACCAGCCTGACCAAATCTATTAGTTTCTTCATGCCTCTATGCCACCACATTACTGGTCATTTCGCGAGTTCACCCAAACGGGTACAGCCACAGCGCATAATGCAAACCGAGGAAGCCGGTCAACGGCATACGGAAGACATGCCCTAGCAAACATAAGCCATTAAGATACAGCAAACACTCCAGTGAGGCACCAGAAAGCTTCGTGTCTAAAACCAATTGTCGGATCTCAGTAGTACTCACCCGATGGTCCCATCAGATGTGAGCAATACTCTGGAATCACCGGCAGTCAAACACAGTCAAGCGTTTAATGCCTTCGCCGCGAACTGGCCTGGTTTCTGATCCACACACCGGTCTTACTGACAGGCAAAAATTCCGCCGTCTCCATAGATGGTTGCCTCTACAAACTTACAATGGCATTGCTGATACGTGAAGATGAAACAGCTGCCAAGGTAAGTGAACCGATCCATCACTTCCAGTAGCTGTTCGGTGACAGCCGGAACCGGTATTTCGGTCCAGTCCTGTAGCAGTATCTTGCCCTTTGAAGGTGCAAAGAACATGCCGAAGCGTGCAGCGCTACGCGTCAGTCCCTCCAGTAGTGTTTGCAAAGCCACTGCGTAGGACCCAAGAAGAGCTATGTCGTCTGCATTCTTCAAATTGGTCAGTCGGTCGCCCGGCAGAACTTCTACTCCGGTAGAGTCGGAAAGAACGAAGTCACGGTGAAAACGAATATAGGTTCATTGAAAAGAAACAGAAGCAATGGCCAGCTAGTGGAGGTAAGGAATACAAAGCGAGAAGAGAGTAAACTGAATCGTGGGGAGAGTAAAAGAGGGAAGGAAAAACAGACTGTCTCTCGACATAGCACCGAGCGCAAGACAGAAGTATTAAGGAAGGAAATAGTGGAGTGCGAACGAAAACAAGACCACCTCCGTTCAGCTACCTCTTGACAATCAGAGAATAAATAACCGGATCAGTGTTTACAAAAATCTGAAAAGTTCACCGGCTCCAGTGAACTCAGCTTGCAGACAGATGTGGGAGAATTAAGTTAACCTTAGGGAAGTTGTTATTTCATGGAATTGAGGATTCCATCAATGATGCGTCCGCGACAGTCCATGATTAACCGCGAAACAAAAGTATGAGACAGCTAACAAAAGGAGCAAAAATAAAAAGGCCAGGACGTAAGAGAGGAAATGCCAGGGAAAATGCCCCGAAAAAATAAAGCACGCACAAAGGGAATAATAAGATGGAATTGTGCGCAGTACGTACTTGGTTCGCAAGTCCATTTGCTTAATTAGTCACGGACTGACTTATTTTACGATCCCAACCTGGATCCCGAGTGAGGACACACGAAGTGGCTAACATACCAGCGCCTTGCTGCCGCGGGTCCACCACCAATCACGTGGGGGCTGGGTATGCTGCGAGGTTGCCCGCACCTAAGCGGATTCGAAACGAGGTGACCTCTGGAGTGCAAAGCAGGCGCTTTATCCATGGGGTCACCGGCCGACAAGTGAAAACTGCAGTAGTTCAGCTAGTGCTAGGTGAACAGGAAGAGTAGGTGAAGGTAGCTCATGCCTGAATAGCCACCAGTAAGTTAGTTATAGTGACTAAAATGAAAAACGATGTTGAGTGAATGCACGAAATGCACACAATACGTCCCAGAATGGGATAACCAAGTTCAAGTCAAAATCTCTTAGGATGATTCAGTGGGTAGAATAGCTTTCATGTGTGAAGTGGTGTTTAGTAAGGAATAGAATCGATCTCGTAAAAGGTCCGAAATCTCTTTAACATGTGTCCCTTAATCGTGCAACTAGCTTCACTCAACAGATACATCATCACGATGGCCTGGTTCTGTCGCCATTGCCGACAGTGGTGGACTGGTACACCATCAACAACTTTACATCAGTCATTTGGTCGGATGCCTCGCTGCCGTACAAACAAGGTGACCTAAGCAGCGAGGAATAATTACATGGATAGAAGTGGTCCAGTATAGAACGTACATGTCCTAAGCAAAGATTTAGGGTCAAGCGACTACACTTTGTGAACAACGTACCGTCACAAACAGTTGGCTATCGTATAAAGATAAAACGGCATCGGCGAGACAGATTCTTTGCTGTTTTCACTGTCCCACGTCATAATCAGCCATTACACCGCAGATAACTCAGCACCAAACAGGTAGTTTGATTAGAATAGGACAGCAGACGCGACACTGGTGCCAACTGTGAGCCATGTCCTGTAACGTCTCGAGCCAAGCATAAGGCGAGTCACACGGACTCCAAGCAATAAGGCGAGATGGACCAACAGCACCCTATTGTGTCGTCAGTGACTTCATTTCTCTCCGCTAAGTTAACTTTTGCTCACCTCGAGCCTTGCACCACACTACATCTGGCAAATAAAACAACGTCCTCCTCGGTAAGCGGTGACCGGGCATACGTAGTATGTACCCAAGCCAACGCAACTTATACAGTGTATTCTGTTGTGCTGAAGAATTAGCACGACTATCACTGCCCAGTATTCGCCTACCTAGAACATCGTTGCGGACACGCTGGTGCCATCCAACACCAGCAACGCTTCGCAGGCAGCGATGATCAGGTGTCTCAGACCGAAGGTGTTAAGTCTCACTCCCACAGAGTAGTACGGCCCTCCCTGTTGGCTTGTAAACGCGGCCTTTCAGACCGAGGGAAATCTGTTTCTGAAGCCACACATTCAAGAAGGCAGTTCTAACATTTGCCACATACAGTACTTATGTGCTTATCGTTACTGACGCAGGTCAAGTGAAATGATCAACTCCATCGAGTTCCTCGCTATCAAGGGTCGTCAAGTAGCTGGTGGTACTGTAACAACACTGCACTACGAAGGTGCGAAGCGTGTGCCAAGTGATGGAACCACCCTTGAGATGATTTTCAGCAGGCAGTACATCAACGCCTGCATCGCGAAGCTCCGCAAGGGAATAGTGCATGTTGCAGTCCATCACGAAGCTGAACAAAAATGGGGAAATTGGAGAACTCTGGTGAACGCCACTGAGATCGGCTCCTAGTTATTTCAGCAAGAGTCCCCTGTCTTTCGGACCCCAACCAGGGAGCTGATACACTCCAACCGAGGCCAACTTCGAAATAAGAGCCTGCATTCCTATTGACCAAGTCATCGATTAGTCACATCTCCTATTCTTCCATGCACACCCACGGCGTGAAAGCAATGTATGTCGCGGGAGCCGGTGGGTTGGCATGCGCAACAAGTGGCCCAGCTATCGGGGCCTAGTGAATAAAATGACGGTGCCGAGCTGTTCGGTTCCTCTTCCTGTGCCATTAACAGGGAGTCGAAGATGTTCACTGCCCACAATATGTTGCCATCAGATATGAGCCAAACTGCGAAAGCACCAGTGGTCGAACGTAACTAGCCTCTTTATGTCTGCCAAGCTAATGAGCAAGATTTTACAACCGTACAGCAGGGTCGAAGGCACGGTTGCAATGTAAACTCTCCCTTTCAGGGAGAGTGATGTCGCGCCGGCGCCATAGGTGGCGAAGGTTAGCAAAGGCGCCTCGAGCTTTTGCTATACGGTTCGTGACCTTTTCTATTCCACGGAAGCTGATACAATTGCCTAGGTAGTTGGATTCTTGAACGACTTTTAGCTGGTCCCCAAGATCGGCGGTCCCCGCCAATCTGGAAGGAAATCTTTGCACTGAGGGTGCGAAGCAAAGCCCAAAACGACTGACGGCCAGCGATAATCTGTCCAGTGCAAGTTGGCATGTTTGTGAGAAGTCACAGATGAGGGCAATGTTGCGAGCTTACTCCGAATCGGAAAGATATCCGACAAATCACCTTAGACTGTCGTGCGGCCTGTGCTGTTCGAGTAAAGTGCATGTAAAACGTTCATATATTTCATGGAAACACCTTTCAGCACAAGTATATCAAACAGAACGCATCGATCGACAGAATCGATGCACAGCTACTGTCGGGTTGCGGTACGTGTAGCACTGCCCTAGCACCTGCCACAGAAGGAAAAGGTGGCCTATACAACCCGTCCTGAACGGGTCTGCTTGCGCTTCCCTAATCCGGAATTCTCCAGCCGCAGT